ATATATATATATATATATATATTATATGTATATATATATATATGTATGTACCTGCATTAGTAAATTATTTAATTAGTTTATTAACTAATATATAAATTAATTAATTAATTAATTAATTAATTTATTTATTTATTTGTTAATGATTAATGTATAAAGAAATAAATTAATAAACTGATGAGTTAATTAATAGATGAATACATTGATAAAGATACAAAGATAAATAAATAAACTAAAATAAATAAATAAATAAATAAATAAATAAAATAAGGGTATGAAGCAAATAAAGTAAATAAACAAATATAAAATCAATCAAACAAAAAGACAGCAACAAAGCACAGCAATCTGCTGCAGAGCATATACTAACAAAGCAGCAAAAACTCCTTATACACCCCAGCACCTAAGCATACATATATACATATATATATATATATATATTTATTTATTTATTTAAAGGTAAAAATATAAAAATGTATATATATATATTATATATGTTGTTTATGTGCAACAGCAAGCAAGCCCTTTGATGCATGCAACGATAAACGAAGACAAGACATAGCTGCGTCTAAAATAAAAACTAATAATAATAAATATATATATTATATATATTATATATATTATATATATTATATATATAAAGAAGCAAAGACTTACTGTGGTGTATGTTATTGTTACAGGCGCTGGCCTCTCATGAAGTATTTCTGCTGCATTTGCTGGCAGCACTGAGCGCAGCTCTCTCTTTAAAACAGAAGCTAAACGATGAGCCGTGCCTGATCAATGCAGCAGCAGCAGCAGCAGCAGCAACAGCAGCAGAGGCAGAAGCAGAGATGTAGCGGCAAACCGATAGCACAAGGAGACACCACAGAAGAGCGGAGAGACAGCTGTTGCTGCTGATGCTGCAGCGAAGGCAAAAAGAAACAGCAAATCCTGCAGCAAACAAAATTGGAGTCCCTGCTGCGCACAACAGCAGCAGCAGCAGCAGTAGCAGCAGCAGCAGGTAATTGCGGTGTACCTGCAGCTCGCAGGTCTGCAGCCATTCTCTTCAGCGAAGAAATAGCAAAAGAAAAACGCAGACGCAAACCTCCTAATACTGCTGCCAGAGCACCTGCCGATGCCCCTGCAGCAGCAGCAGCAGCACAGCAGCAGCAGCAGCACAGCAGCAGCAGCAGCAATACAAGCAACAGCAGCATCAACACATGCAACAACAAAGCAGCAGCGCAACAAGCAGCAGCACCAGCGATGCTTCAACAGCTACGCAGCAAAACATCCTGCAGCAGCAGCACTGCCGGCAGCAGCATCAGATACAACACCACAGGTATGTGTCAGCAGCAGCAGCAGCAGCAGCAGCACGCAGCCCTGCCCTACGCTCCCCAAATCGTCTTCGGAAGAGCAGCGGCAGCAGAGAAGCAACGGGTGCAGCAGCAGCAGCAGCAGCAGCAGTAACAGCAGCAGCAGCAGCAGCAGCAGCAGGCGGTGGTATACCTGCAAGTGGGGTGTATTGATGTACGACGTTGAGTTCACAGAGATAACTCAAAACGCCGAAATGATAAGGGGCTAGCAAACCAGCAGGAGAGAAAGAAAACCCTAAAGGCGCTCTGTACAGGGGTGTTGCTGCTGCTGTTGCTGCTGCTTCTGCTGCTGCTGCTGCTGCTGCTGCTGTTGCTGTTGATGAGCTTCCTGCTCCAACGAAACCAACCGACCCTGCACACAAACAAAGCCACACGCACACAGGCTAAGGGGCTTGGCTACTGCTGCTGCTGTTGCTGCTGCTGCTGCTGCTGCCGGTGTTGCTGCTGCTGCTGCTCTTGCTGGTTCTGCCCCAAATGTTATTACTGCTTCTGCTGCTGCTGCTGCTTTCAGTGCTGCTGCTGCTGCTGCAGCTGCAGAAATGCACATGGAAATCCGGAAGTCCCTCACCTGCTACTGCTGTTTGCTGCAGCTGCTGCTCGTCGCTGCTTCTTGCTGCGGTTGCTGCTGCTGCTGCAGTTGCAGCAGCAGCAGCCCCTGAATTTGCATCTTCCTGCCCTGGAGTGAAGATGCTAGAGAACGTCCTTTGGATGTCTGTCCACCAATTCACAACACCTTCCCCCTGCTGCTGCTGCTGCTGCTGCTGCTGCTGCTGCACGCTTTCTGGGCGGTGTTTTTGTCTCACTGCACCGACAGCAGCAGCAGCATGCGGCACCCACGACTGAGCTGTTCTGTGGACTGTAGAGCCCTTCAAGTAGCTGCCGCTCCTGGTGCTCCTTCTGCTGCTGCAGGCCTGCTGCTGCTGCTGCTGCTGCTGCTGCTGCTGCTGCTGCTGTGGGGCGGGTTTGGCAGCAAGGAACTCAAAGTGCGTCTCATCTACACTCAGACGGCCTGACTCGATACAAACCATCGCTGGGGGAGGGGAAGGCTCCCGTTGATGCTGCTGCTGCTGCTGCTGCTGCTCCTGCTGGTGTTGCTGTTGCTGCTCCAGCTGCTGCTGCGAGTGATGCCGCAGACGGCGAGGAGAGGTAAAAACTTTACGTGCAGTGTGCTGCTGCATCAGCTGTCTCCTCAGCTGCTTCTGCTGCTTCTTGCTGCGAATGTGCAGCAGCAAAGGGTCTCCCCCCTTCGGCTGTTTCTGCAGCTCAAACAGCACCACTCCCTGCAACGGAAGAGCAGCCCGCTGCTGCTGCAGCTGCTGCAGCAGCTGCTGCAGCAGCAAATCATCCTCCTCACCTTCCGTTGCTGCACTGCTGCTCGACTCTAGGGACGCCTTGCTGCCGCTCCTGCTCAGCCCCACAGGCGTGGGGGAGATGCTGCTGCTGCTGCTGCTTCTGCTGCTGCCGTACTGCTGCTGGTGCTGCTGGTGGTGGTGTTGCTCCGAGGCGTCCGCAGTACTGCTGCTGCTGCTGCTGCTGCTGCTGCTGGGGAGCCCCTCATTCACATAACATAATACGTTAGGGGCCTCGCTGCCGTGGGGCGCCTCCAGCAGCAGCGCAGCAGGTGCTGCTGCCACTCGCAGCACCTGCTGATGCTGCAGACAGCCTGGACAGATGCTGGGGGAGTCTGCAGCATCACGCACAGCAGCAGCAGCACCTGCTGCTGCTGCTGCTACTGCGCTGGATCCTGCCCGGATGTGTGCTGCCTGTGTGGCTGCTGCTACTGCTGCTGCTTCCGGAGAATCAACTGCTGCTGCTGCTGCTGCTGCGCACAGGGCCTCTAATTCTTCTTCTTCTCGCTGCTGCTTGGCGAGCTGCTGCAGGGCTTCCTGTTCCCGCTGCAGCATCTCTGGCGGCGTTGCTGCTGCTGCAGCAGCTCCCGGCTGCTGCTGCACCGCCGCAGCCCATCTGCTGCCAGCAAAGAACGTGTATAATGCTGCTCTTCCGCTGCCCTCACCCAGCCCCAGCAGCTGTTGCACAGCAAGAGAAGAAGCAGCAGAGCCTCCTGCTGCTGCTGCTGCTGCTAAGCCCTCCTGCTCTAGCAGCCTCTCCCTGCATGCAGGGTTCAGGGCCCCCACATCAGCAGGAGCCAACGGCCCCGATGCAACTGAACCCATGACAAGCGATTGCTGCTGCAATTGCTGCTGCTGCTGCTGCCGCTGCTGCTGCTGCTGATGTTGCCGTTACTACGGCTTCAACAGACAGGCGAGGGCTCGAGGATGGATCGCAGCAGCAGCTGCTGCTGCTGCTTCAGTTGGCTACTGTTGCACGTGTGTTGCTGCAAGGTTTCGGCGCTGCTAGCCGCTCCAAACAGCAGCGATGCCTGCTGCTGCTGCTGCTGCTGTTGTTGTTGTTGTTAGATCAACTAAAAGGGCGGTTGCTGCTGCAGGTGTACAGACACCTTAACGCACACAGGGTCAAGAATAGCACCAACAACACTAGAAGTATACGCAGCACGAGCAGCAGTAGCTGCAGCAGCTGCAGCAGCAGCTGCTGCTGTCTTCCTCAAGCTGCTGCAGCAACACCGCAGCAAAACATGTAAAAGGACAGGAAAAATAAAAAAATAAACAGTATGAGAAGGATTGGCTTCGAGCAGCCCCCAGATGCAGCTCTAGCTGCTGGATAAAGGAGATTAGCTGTGTCAATAAAGCAGCAGCAGCTGCAGCAGCAGCAGCAGCAGCAGCAGGACAGTAGCCCCTTGTAGGGAGGATTGCGTAAGATGTGTTATGATGGTGGGGCTGCTGCTGCTGCTCTTGTTGCTGTATTAAGTATGCATCTTTAGAGGTAGTTTGCTGTAGATTTTCCTACTGCTGCTTTTGTGATGTCTGTTGCTTCTTCCTCTTCTGCTGCTGCTGCTGCTCCTCCCGCTCCTGCTGCTGCTGCTGCTGCTGCGTGTGTGTCCTTGCTGCTTGCTGCTGTTGCCGCTGCTCGTGAAATATGGCTTTATTTTGTGGTTTTGTTAGGTTTTGTGTTTTGTTTCAACTCCATATTGCAGTAGCGCAGCAGCAGCAGCCGCAGCAGCAGCCTCAGCAGCAACAGCAGCAGCCGCTGCTGCAGCCGCTGCTGCAGCTGCTGTATTGCCCGCTTTGGTGCTGCAGTACGGCGTCGCGCTGTATTTCTGCAAATTCATTTGGGTCCGTAGTGCTGGATGATGTAAGCATAGGGCCCTGACGGCGAGCTGAGTTGCAGCAGCAACTGCAGCAGCAGCAGCAGCAGCGATGCTGCTGCTGTGGCCGATGGGGGTGCGCCACACAAGTTAAACTTGTTATCCTTGCTCTGAGAAAGCTTACGGACCCTTAGATGCAGCAGCAGCAGGAATGAGAACAGCAGCAGCAGAAGCAGCAGCGGCAGCAGCAGCAAGGTTCGATCGATCATGAGCCTTTGCGTACACTGAAGCTGCTCTGTAGTGCTGATGCTGCTGTGCAGCTGCATGATTTATGCGTGTTTACTGTGTGGAGTTCTGTGTGGGTGGTTAGCTGCAGCAACAGCGGCAGCACAACAGCAGCAAAGCAGCGGAGACGTCGTCTCTCTGTCTATTCGTCGGTTGCATGTGTGCGTTGGCTGTCTTTCTTTTTCGATGTCTTAAGTCCTTTCTTGTCCCCTTCTATTTTTCTGTTCGTCTCTGGTGATGTTATGTGCACATTGTGTTGCACTCTTTTGAGCTGGGCGTGTTGTTGATGCTATGCTCCGCATGATGCAAAGAGAGGCTGGTCTGGAAGGCGAAGCTACATCTTTAACGCATTAAATAATTATTTAGTAACATACACATACGCAAATATAATTATGATATTAGAGATGCAGCCACCGGCACACATGACCTGTTGTGGGATCGTCGTCCCCCGGTTCTGGAATCGTCTCCGGTGGTTCATTAGTTGAGTTTGAGGGGTTGCTGCGGTGGTCATTTGTTCTAGGGAGGTTCGCGCAACAGATCATTTGAATATTGCTGTGATAAGTGCAAACGACTGTCTCTTAGCTCAGACAGAAGGGGGGTTAGTCTCTCAACAGGGATAGAGGCTTGAGGGAGTTGTTGTACGGGAGAGCCAAAGTAGGAATTGGGTTGTTGACAAACGAGAAAGAGAAGCAGAGACGGTTATCTCCGAACAGAAGTTAAGGCTGGAGGGGCTTGTTGTCTCCAAGCAGATGCTTGCTTGCGTATGAGGTTATGCTGCATCAACCTGTTTCCTTTCGCGCGTGGTTAAGGCTAGTTAGGTTCTGCCCTCTTGCGGGAGAGGAGAAGAAGGGCCGGGTTTATTATTGCGCTGTAATGAGCACAGCCTCTGCATCTCTTCCTCGTAATAATGCTTTAAACAGAGAGACAATCCCTCCGCTGCTGTCGACCATCCCAAGATGAAGCACACTCTGGTGGGGGAGCAGGGGAGGGTTTCTTCGCTCCTTTGGAGTTGTGCTTTCGTCTTCGCAGTGCACAAGAGGCTGCTATGACAATGCTGATTATATCTAAGCAGCAGTAGCGTATCCCTAAGCACATCAGAACTATGGAAGCTTTCAGGCTTGCGCTGAGATGTAGGTTTAATGACGCCTTCTTGACGGCTTCATCATTGCGGGGCAGTGATGGAGCCTTAAGAGTTGGGAGCCTTAAGCACAGATCCATCTTGAGACAACTCTTTATTTACTCATCTGAATGGTAAGCGGTGATTAACACTGGTTCTGATGCAGGGCTGATATCTAAAGCTACAACAAAAGATGTAGCCTATCTGTTCGCTAATATGGCCTCAACTACGAAGTGGATTATGCTGCAATGGTATAGGATTTCTTTACTGGAGAAGCTCACCACGACATAACTTTAGGCGTACCATGGGGGGACCAGGAGAGGAAACGCATGCAGCCTCCAGACGAGCGGCTTGAATTATATGTGCTGGGGAGCAGTGAGACAGCTCCTCCCTTAGCGCTATCAACAGTATCGGCATCATCTGTGAAGTGACTGTCTCAGGAAGAAAGGAGAGAGGAGGCTCGAACGCCGAGTAGAAACGCTGCAGGAGAAGACGCATGCACTCAGTCTTGTTGCTCCTACAGCGACAGCGGTTTAAGGATGTCTCGATTCAGTCTACATCCAAGGAACAGCACAAGTGCTCACAATTGAACAAACAGCTCTCAGATGTACTATCTAACAAGACAGTAGCTTCCAGAGAGGCGGTCTCGCTTGAGCTGCCCAATGAACCGCATCATACTCACTCCGGGCGCAGCCCGGAGGTATGTTATGAGATGCGTGCGACACCCTACCATAAAAAGGAGGCTGAATGGCAAGTAGACGAACTGCTCATAACATGCAAAGCTCAACAACCACCGAAAGCCTTTGCTAGCAATACGGTGGTGGAAGGGGGTGCGTGCGCATCGAATGCAGACCCCTTTATTATCAGATGACGGAGGAAAAAGAGTTTCCGACGCCCCTGAACGACGAACTAGTGGACTGTTTGCAACGTTCAGCACTTTGTTTATCAGCTGGCCTCATTGACGCTATGTTTAGGTCTCAATACTTCCGAACGAGAGGCAAGAGACTCTGTTCATTCACTCAAGCTACAGTAGACCTGCACGCTTTTTCCTTCACAAACGCTCTTGCCGAGTTGCAGCGGCTTGCAAATAAAGGTTTGCTAAGCCCAATAAATGGGTGATGAATAAATATCTACACGGACGAAGTGCATATGCTCCAGTGGAATGTGCAGGGAGAACTTGCAGCACGTGGGGTGTACTCTGCAACTGCAACAAGAGAAGCAGTGGTTCGTAGAGGCAAAAAGTATTCACTGTTAACATCACCTATTAGCTTCTTGAGTTCCGCGGCTCTGCATTATAACTAGAGCCATATCCAGCTACGATGGAGGCCATTTGAATGCAGCGTTTCCTTTTATGCTCTCGTGCGGGCGTTCATATGTTCCTCAGTATCACACACAACCTACGATTGAGAAAGGCGAAGGCGCCGCAACAGCTCATCAACAGTACACGAAGTAATCACATCAACATGGGGAGCAGGCGGAGTGCAGCATTACCAGCAGCATCAGCTAGCAGCAGCACCAGCTGCAAGCAAGCGAGCCACTTGTGCTGATTCCGAGATACCCTAACACAGGGAAGAAAGACACTTCTTCTGCAGCACTGGATACACCTCAGCAGCAGGCGATGCACCAACAATAAAGTTGCAGCAAGTGATGGTGCAGGAGGAACAGATGAAGCAGCAGAAACAACACGTGCAGCACCAGCAAGTGAGGCAGGAGAAGCAGGAGCTGCAGCCCGCCTGCTGCAGCAGAATGCTTTGCCACTAGAGCAACGTTAGACTATCAGATATCCGCAGTGACTGCTTCAGCAACTGCTGCAGCAACTGCTACAGCAGCTTATTGCGTAGGCAACGATATTGTTGATATATCTCCGCGATGAGCAGACACCCGGACGCCTCGCAGCAGAACGCGTGGAAGCAGCAGCAAATAGGTGCAACAGCAGCAGATGGAGCTCTGTCCCTCTTCGCTACTTTCCGCGACTGCAACGAGAGTCCCTTGCTGCATCTCAGGAGCTTCGTGAAATGCAATTGAGCAAAAGTATGAAAGAAAGAGCTCTTATGAAGCAGATGATAGCTTACCCTCTTCTCCCCAGAGGCTCTGTACACAGCAACACAAAGGCCTGGGGGTTGGGAGAGGAGACAGCATAGAGAGAGACAGCTTCAGATGAGTTGCAGTGCATGCTGCTGCAACAAATGCAGCAAGGCCCCTACTCACACGTGCAGAGGCAAGCCCCTTTGTGGTGTCTGCACCAATACTGCAGGCTGCTGCTGCGCTTCTGCTTGCCTGCAGCATGCATACTACGGCCTATCAAGTGTATATACACCAACAACATATTGAGGTTGCTGCAAGCAGCAGATCCATAGCAGCAACGAAGCACCCACAACACAGCAACACAGGTAGAGATAGCTGCAGCGCTATAGCGCTCCTTCCGCCTTTCTTTTACTGTTAATTTGCTGCTTCTCTGAGATGCCAAGCACATGCATACATTGGCTGCAGTAGCAGCAACAGCAGCAGCGGCAGCAGCACAGCCAGCAGCAGCAGCAGCCCCGCGGTAGACCTTGGGGGTTTGTTAGTGGAATTTGCTTGTTAGTAGCTTAAAAAGAAGCAGAAAACAAAAATTAAGGTTATTATTGAATATAAAACTGCAAAACAGACGTTATATTGCAGATTGGATGCAAGAGAAGAAAGCGAACAGCAGCAACGGATGGCTGGAGCGAGCAGCAGCAGCAGGGATTGATGCAGCAGCAGTGCCTTTCAGCGATTTGTTTGTTTGCTTATTTCTTCGATATACTGCATTATAATTGCACGAAAACAACCGAAGCTCTGAGGTGTATAGACACCCCGCTGGAGCCCCAGCCTGCATGCCCCTCTGCTATTGGGTCTCTTGCAGTTTCTTCTTCGTGGCTTTGCTGCAAAACTGTTTGTAATCTTTAAACAGACTTTGAGGTGTATATATATGTGCGATAGCCCCCACAGTACTCTGAAGACGCCTCTGGGAGGGAAGGGGCCCGTCAATCGTGCTGCAGCAGCAGCTGCTGCTTCCATTGTCTGTCGCAGCAGCAGCAGCAGCTGCTGCTGCTGCTGTGCTCAGGCGACAGCTGTTTCTACTGCTGGAGAAGCTGTTGCATCAGAGTAGTGGGGGAAGCTGCTGCTGCAGCTGCTGCCGCAGCCGAATAGGCTGCAGCGCAGCGTGATTTGCTGTCGCTGCTGGTCGTGCTGCTGCTGCTGCTGGTGCAGCAGCACAGACGGCAGCTTTGCAGCAGCAGCGTCATCATCATCAGCAGCAGCTTTTGCAGAGGAGCTCAGCTTCAACGATGAAGAGGCTCAGCAGCAAAGGCAGGCGCCGCGGTGGGCCTCGCGGGGAGGCTGCTGCTGCTGCTGCTGGCCGCGGTGGCGGCTATCGGATGAGAAACAGCAGCGTTGATGCTGCAGCAGCAGATGCACACAACGATGAAACATTTGCTCTCGATAACCCCATCGGTAAGCTGCTGCTGCGCCTTGCAGCAGATGCATCACCAGCAGCAGCTGCAACACCGTGCAGCAGATGCGGCACCAGCAGCAACAGCTGCAGCAGCTGCAGCACATGTAGTAGATGCAGCAGATGCAGCACCTTCAGCAGCCGCAGCAGATGCAGTACATGCAGCAGCAGCTGCTGCAGCAACTCCTGCAGCAGCAGGTGCAGCAGCTTGTGCAGCAGCTTCCACAGCAGGTGCTGCAGCAAGTGCTGCGCATTGATGCTTGTGAAGCTGCAGGGGTCTCGCTTTATTTGCTGCTGTTTGTCTCGCAGGAGATGACTGGCAGCCAGACGAGGCCCACTACAAAGAATTTGAACTCCAGAAGCAGCAGCAGCAGCAGCAGCGGCAGCAGCAGACGGAGCAGCAGCAGACCACTTCATATTCACACCATTTAGATGAGATGCCTCACCAGGTGAGACTGCTGTTGCTGCTGCTGTTGCTGCTGTCGCTGCTGTTGCTGCTGCTCGACGGTTGCTGCTGTGTGTGCGGTTGCTGCTGCTGCTGTTGCGTCTGTGGTTTCTTGAATGCAAAAGAAGCTTCTGGTGCAGCTCCGCAGCAGCAGCAGCAGCGGCATCAAGGTGTGGCTAGCGGGTTTGCTGCTGCTGTTTGTTTTGCTGCTGCTGCAGCGCTTCGAGCTGCCTGAGTTCTTTAGCACCGACGCCAGGGGGCAGCCAGTGGATGTTCTTCTTGAGTCTCTTGAACCTGAGACGGATGATGCTGCAGCTGCTGGCAGCAGCAGCAGCAGCAGCAGCTGCGGACCCATGTTGGAAGCCCCCTTCGACGCTCTGCATGCAGGCCCTTCCCTGGGGCAGTTCCCACATGGACTGCAGCAAGACATGCACCTGCAGCAGCAGCAGCAGCAGCAGCAGCAGCTGCACCCACTGCAGCATCTGCAGCAGCAGGTGCCGCCTCACTATCAACACCACGTCAGCAACTCAGCAGCAGCAGCAGCAGCAGACCCGTTGCCTCCCAAGGGCCCGTGTATGCAGTCTCTGCTCTGCGCAGATGCAGAGAAGCTGCTGCGCCCACCTCCTGGCTTTGATGGGGAAGGCGCGCTGCTGCAGCAGCAGCAGCAGCAAGCAGCAGCAGCAGCAGCTGCTGCTGCTGCTGTCAGCAGAGACCCAGCTGTCTTGATGGCGGAGACTGCAGAGGGCGTGGCATCCCACTTTGCGTGGACGCCAAGCAGCAGCAGCAGCAGCAGCAGCAACACAGGACCAATGCGTGAGCTGGTAGGGGCTCAGGAGGGCGCTTTTGCTGCTGCTGCTTCTGCTGCTGCCGCTGCGATGGAAGCTGCTAACCTTCGGGTTGGGCTCGACCGGCCGGTGCAGCTGCAGCAGCAACAGCAGCAACTGCAACATCAACAGCAGCAAGCTGCTGCTGCCGTTTTGCCTAGGTGGAATGGCCCGGAAGATTTGTGGACCTCAGCTGACCAGCAGCAGCAGCAGCAGCAGCAGATGTTACTGCTGCAGCAGCAGCAGCGCGGTCTCTGTGGGAGTGTCATGGGTGGTCCACCAGGCATGCAGCAGCAGCAGCGAGAACCGTTGCTGCAGCATGAGGTTCTGGAGCAACAGCTGCTGCAGCGGCAGCAGCAGCATTTGCAGCAGCAGCATTTGCAGCAGCAGCATTTACAGCAGCAGCATTTGCAGCAGCAGCATTTGCAGCAGCATTTACAGCAGCAGCATTTGCAGCAGCAGCAGGTTGGCATCCCAGAAAGGAACTCCCCAGCGGGAAAGCACGTATCCCCGCAGCACTTTCAGCAGCAGCAGCAGCTGCTGCAGCAGCAGCTGCTGCAGCAGCAGCAGCAGCAGGAGAGAGAGCAAAGGGCTTCAAGGGGTTTGCCTGAGAGGCCGAGGGGCGGAGACATGCGATCTTCTGGGGCTGCTCACGGTCGGCTGCCGCATGCAGCAAGCAGCGTGGATCAGCAGCAGCAGCAGCAGCAGCAGCAGCAGGCACAGCAGCCGCGTGTGCGCACTCAGCAGCAGCAGCAACAGGCGCAACAGCAGCCGCAGCCACAGCGCCGCAGGCAGCAGCAGCAGCAGCAGCAGCAGCAGCAACCAGCGCAGCAGGAGAAGGGGCGACGGCATCCGAAGCAGCAGCAGGAGTTGCATGTTCCGAACGGCAGCAGCAGCAGTAGTAGCAGAAGCAGCAGCAGCAGCATTATATGGCCTCCGCCCATAGTCCCTATGACTCGGGGGTTAGTGGATTATATAATTAAAGAAAAGATTGAAGACGGCAGCAAATGGTTTGGTGCTGTACCAGATGCCTCTCCAGCAACACCTGCAACAACTCCCAGCCCTAACCCCAGCAGCAGCAGCAGCAGCAGCAGCAGCAGCAGCAGCAGCAGCAGGGGCGGTGGCGGCGGTGGTGACGACGGGGGCATTAGCAGGAGCAGGAGCAACAGCAGGAGCAGTAGCAGCAGCAGCAGCAGCAGCAACAGCAGCAGCAGCAGCAGCAGCAGCAGCAGCGGGTTTATGACGGCTCACGACTTTGATGTTATTCTGAGGGTGCAGCTCTCACAAACTTCGCGGCGCCCTGAGCTGCAGAAATACACCGGGAGATGGAACTTCCGTTGCATGCGCAGCAGCAGCAGCAGCAGCAGCAGCCAAATGCCCTTTGAACTTGAGAGCTCTTTGAAGCAGCTCGCACAGACAGCAGGGACCCTCGGGACGCCTGCTGCTGCTGCAGCAGCAGCAGCTGTTGCTGCTGCTGCTGATGCATCGCCTTCTGATGTTCATACTCTTGTCAGCAACTCGTGCATGCACCGGAAGCTGCTGGGCTCTATCTCAGCTGCTGAAGCAGCAGCGCTGCTGGAGGCAGCAGAGAAGGAGCAGCAATTGCCTCCGGATGCTGCTGCTGGTGCAGAAGCAGCTGCTCCTGCTGCGGCGAAGGCTCAGGCGGCCGCTGCTGCAGGCTCTGCTGCCTCAGAGGCTGCAGAAACGCAAACTCCTGAAGGCAGCAGCAACAGCAGCAGCAGCAGCAGCAGCGGGGTGCACAAGAAGTTTGGGCGCGTGGCGTATGCATCTATCCGACACCCTCGGAATGCAATTCATATAGACAGGCGTTCACAGCAAGAAGAAGATGCTTCAGACACTTCTGCTGCTGCTGCTGCTGCTGCAGTCGCCAGCAGCAGCGCAAATGGCGCCATTAAACAACGCCCCACACAAGAGCTCGTCAGACAGGTCCGTGCTGCCTCTGCTGTTGCTGCTGCTGCTGTTGCTGCTGCTGCTGTTCTTGCTGCTGCCGCTGCTCATGATGGGGGTGCTGCGGGTGCTGCAGCAAATGGTGCAGCTGCAACAGATGGGTTTGCGCTCTCTTGCTGCTCGTTGCAGTGTCTCGGGAGGTTGCTGCTGCTTGCAGTCTGTTGTTGCTGCTTGTTGCTGCTTCTTGTTGCTGCTTGGTGCTACTTGACGCCGTTGAGTTCATTGTGTATGGTTCAAACTGTGCCGTGCTCTGCTGCTGCTGTTGCTGCTGCTGCTGCTGGTTTGCTGCAGCTGTCGCTGGGGGCACCGGGGCTGAGCCCGCTGCAGTCTTCTTTAGCCGTGCAGTCTATAGTGGAGGACTGCCACGACATCCGCCTCACTGCTTCAGCGCTGCTTGCAGAGCTCGAGGTGAGGGTTTAGGGTTTAGGGTTTAGGGTTTGGATGGGAGGGGAGACAAGAGGGGTTCAGATTGCTTGAGGGTTTACGGGGCAGCAGGTAGATTGGAAGGGTTTAGAGAAATTGAGGGTTTAGGGTTTTGTTCTGCTGCTGCAGTGTCTAGGGTTTAGGGTTTAGGGTTTAGGCCTAGGGTTTAGGGTTTGTAGCACTTGAAAGAGTTACCTCCATGCCTCTATGCTGCTGTTGTGTTGCTGCTGTGACGCTGCTGCTATGTTGCTGTTGCTACTGCTGCTGCTGCTGCTGTTTTTTTCTGTTGCTGCAGGAGTGCCCAGCAGGCCACGTGGCAGCTCGCGGCCGTTTGCAGCAGCAGCTGCAGCACACGCTGCAGCAGGCAGCTGAATTGTTGCTGCTGCGGCACTGCTGCTGCACCCTTGCGCCTCCAATGCCTTATCTTCTTGATTTCTGGGCTCCTGCGTGCTGCTCCTCCCCTTCGGAGTACGTCGTTAGGTTGCGGCAGCACTACCTGCGGCAGCAGCAGCAGCAGCAGCAGCAGCTGCAGCAGCTGCAGCAGCAGCAGCAGCAAGAGGAGGAGGGTTTTATGGGGGTGTTGCCTTCGGACTTGAGCCTTTCGTTGTCTCAAGGGCGCCGCAGCAGCAAATGGATGCTCGAGAACGTGGCCAGCAGCAGCAAGAGTATGAAGCTGCTGCTGGGGTTGCTGCCGCTGCTGTCAGACCCTTGCGTCTCTTGTCTTCTGCAGGGGCTGCTGCTGTGCTCTGAGATATTAGAAGGGGTTTTCGCTGAAGCAGATCGTGTCCTCCTTGCTGCAACAGCAGAGGCAGCAGCAGCAGGAGCAGCAGCAGGAACAGCAGCAGCAGGCGCAGCAGCAGGCAGTGAATTTAGCATTAGTTTGTTTGAGGAGGTGTTGAATTCAACAGGGATATCTCCTGCTGCAGTTGCTGCCGTTGCGAAGGGGAGTTTGCTGCATTTGCTGCTGCATGCATCGCCGGGGTTCGAACGCGGGTCTCTCTGCTTCTATTTGCTGCTGGGGGCCCTGCGGGTCTTCAGAGCAGCAGGGCCCTCAAGAACAGCAGTGCTTTGCAGCTTTTTAGATATCTTAGGGGGGGGAGACAGGGGATTGACACACATAGCCAAGCATGCAGTAAGCATACAAATGCTGCTGCTGCTGCTGCTGCTGCTCGCTGTGCTGCTGCTTCTGATGGTGCTTATGCCCCGGTTGGCGCTGATGCTGGGGCTTCGGCCCGCGCTGCTGCTGCCGCTGCGTGTTCCGCTGTTTGTGCTGCTGCTGGGCCTTGTGCTGCTGTTTTGTGCTGCTGCTGCTGCTGCTTGTGTTGATGCTCGTGCTGCCGCCGGTGCTGCTGCTACGCGTGCTGCTGCTGCTTGCGCTGCTGCTTGTGCTGCTTGTGCTCCCGGTGATGGGGTGGTGGTGGTGTTGCTGCTGCTGCTGTTGCTACTGTCGTTTCGTTGCTGTTTCTCCTGGTTGCTGTTGCTGCTGTTGCTGTTTCTGCTGCTGCTGGCTTTGCTACTCTTGCTGCTGCTGCTGCTCCGGAGCCGCAGGGTATTATTTAGCGCTTCTGGGCAGGGGGTGGACTCGTGCTGCTGTGCATTTGCTGCTGCTGCTGCTGCTGCAGACGGGAGCCTGCTTCCTTTCATTGCTGATGCTGCATCTTCCTCGCGCTGAGGGGACGGCAAATTTGGGTCAAATGTGAGTTGAGGGTCTGGAGTTTAGGGTTTAGGGTTTAGGGTTTAGGGTTTCGTGTTGGGATGCACATCGCAAGCTGCTGCTGCTGCTGGAGCTGCTGCTGCTGCGTTTGCTGCTGCTGTGTTGCGCTGCTGCTTCAGGAAAGTGATTACACGTTTCCTTCGTCTTGTAACAGACGCATTAGTCTTCTTATTGCATAGGGACGCCGGCCAGGAGGCCAACAAACAGCAGCAGCAGCAGCAGCAGCAGCAAGTGCTGCTGCAGCGGCTGCGGCCTCTAATCCGCAGCCTGCTGCAGCAGGCAAGGCACTGCCCCGCATGGGCTGCAACAATAACGACGCAAGCGATGTACGTTTATTATTATATTTGATTTAATTCGTCTGTCTCCTTTTCTGTCTCCTTGTGTGTCTCCTTTATTTGTTTGTTTGTTTGTTTGATATTTTATCTGATGCTGTTAGGGCCTCCTTTCGTTTATTTCTGTCTCTATTGCATTTGCTTCTGTGTCTGTGCTGCTGCTAGCAGCAACACAGCTTTTCTTGTTGTCTCCTTCTGTCTCTGTCTTCGCCTTCTTTTGTCTCCTTTTGTCTTTGTTTATGGCTGTCTTTCTTTTTTTATGTTTTTGCTTCTGTCTCTGTCTCTGCCTCTGTCTCTGTCTCTCTCTATGCCTGTCTTTATTAGTGCCTTTATGTTTGTCTCTCTTTTCTTTTTGTTGTCTCTGTCTGTCTTTTTATTTATTTATTTAATTTATTTTTTAATTTATTTTTTTTGCTGTCTTCATCAGGAGTTCGCTTGGTGAGGCTTCCGCTCGCGACTTCCTCGCTTCTCTCGTAGCTGCTACGGAGTTCTAGCTGCTGCATCTGCTGCTGCTGCTGCAGCAGCTGCTGCTGCAGCTGCTGCTGCGGCTGTACTGCAGCAGCGGGTGCAGCACTCGCACTGCAGCAAATACTGCTGCTGCTGCTGCACTGCACCATCTGCTATAGTAGCAAGGGCTACTACTGGTGCAGCAGCTGGCTAGAAGCGCTGTTGCTGTTGCTGCTGCTGCTGCTGAGTAGAGCAGCAGCCTTCTGCAGCAGCAGTGCTGCATTGCAGTGTATGTATGCATGTCTCTAATAGCGATAAGAGAGTAGAAAGGAGACAAAAAGAAGACAATAAGGGGGACAGAAACGGAGACACGACTGACTGTCAGTACACCGCAGCAGGCAGAGGAGACATTCCTTGATGTTTATCTTTTAATGATAAGCATGCCTGTAGCTGCAACTAGTTATTTCTCTTCATTTTAAACAATGCTATTTTGCTGCTGCAGCGGAAGTGCTGTTGCAGCAGAAGAAATGCTGCTGCAGCATGAGAGGAGACAGACGAAAAAGGAGACACACACAAACAAAAACAGAGACTGCAGCAAAGATGTGCATACAGAGACAGAAGCAGCAACAAGAGAGAGATAAAGACAGAGACAAACAGAGACAGAGAGACAGCAACAAATAGACATACAAACGGAGACAGAAGCAGCAACAAAAACATAAACACGAAGACAGAGAAACAGCAAAAGAGAGGTAAGTACAGAGAGAGAGAGAGACAGCAAGAGAGATTTATATTTAGAGACAAAGAAGAGAGACAGAGAGACCAGCGATAGATAAAGACAGAGACAGAGACAGAGACAGACACTATATATATATATAGACGGAGAGACAGCAACGAAGAAGCACAGGGACACAGAGAGACAGTAAAACAGCAGACAGAGACAAGAGGAGACAGAGACAAAGGCAAACAGAGAGAGAGAGTTAGAGGTAGAGACAGAGAGAGACAGGGTATAGAGACAGGAGACAGAGACAGAAACACAGAAGAGACTGAGACAACGAAAAGAGAGGAGACACCTAAAAGAGAGAGACGAAGTCAAAAGGAGACAAAGAGACAGCCAGCCAGAAGGGGCTAAGGAGAGAGAAGCAACAGCAAAACAGCTGCGGGTTTGCTGCAGAGCAAAGACAACAAACAGCAGCAGCAGCAGCAGCAGCAGCAGCAGCAGCTTGAGGGGAGACGCCCTCTAGGCGAATGCACGCTTGAGTGTATCTGCATAGAGGAGACAGACAAATATAAATTCTTCATAAAATAACGGAAGTAATTTGTTTGTTTTGTCGCTAGACCGCAGCAGCCCACTGTCTGCTGCTGCTGCTGCCTTGAGCAGCACCCAAGGCAGCAGCAGCAGCAGCAGACAGTGGAAGCCACAGCAGCAGCTGCCGCAGCAGCGGCAGCAAGGACGGAGCCCGCCTAAATGAAGGCGAGAATGCGTGAGATAAGAAGTGAGACACTGCAGCAGATCGGATGAGACACTTCAGCAACGGAAACACCAGCAGCTGCAGCAGCAGCAGCAGCAGCAGCAGCAGCAGCTTTACAGAGCAAGACATTCTGCTGCAGGGACGGCGGTCCTCTCTTCTAGCGTTGGCTTGACGCTGCCATAGATAACGATATGGCCTGCTGGTGCTGCGGGAGCTGCTGCTGCTGTTCCTCTACAGCTGCTGCTGCAGTTATTGTTGCTGTTGATGCTGCTGCTGCTGCAGTCGCTGCTGCTATAAGGCCCTATATACACTTCTGGCTCCCAGGTGTCTGTGCACTCAATAGAAATATACGGTCTCCAAACGGAGACATCAGGGCCGAGCGATGCTCCCCCCTGCTGCAGCAAGCCGCCTACCTCGCTGCTGCTCTTGTGCAGTGCTCGTTCATCTCTAGCTGTAAAGACAACGATTCGGGGCTTAACACCTGAAGCTTCACCGTCTCCAGCTGCTGCTGCTGCTGCTGCAGCAGCAGCAGCAGCAGCAGCAGGTTCCGGGTTAAACTGCTCGTCTATTATGAGGTTGCGAGTGGTGAATATCTGCACTGCTGCGGTGTCTCCGCGTCTGCAGCTAACATACGGCTGAAAAGAAGGGCTCTGAATAATCTCAATTCGCGGAGTGCTGCTGGGGAGCAGCAGCAGCACAGGCTGCTGCTCTGCTGCTGCTGCTGCATGCGAACGGCCTTCATACACTGGTTGCAACTGAGCACGAGGAGAACAGCCCAGAGAAGGAATCTGCTCTAAGAGACCCTCATCATCATCATCATCTTCTTCTTCTTCTGCTGCTTCTGCTGCTGCAGCTCCTGCTGCTGTTGTTGCTGCTGCTGCTGCTGCTGCTGCTTCGGTCTCCTCCTTCGCCCGAGCTATCGCAAGCAAACTCTGCTGCATTGCCCCCAGCTGCTCCTCTAATTCTCTATACCCCATCTTAATAGCAACAACTTCGTCTTCTTGCTGCATGCGCAGCCGCAGCACCTCGCGCGACTGTGCTGCACCTCCTGCTGCGGCTGCTGCTGCTGTTGCTGTTGTTGCTTCCCCTGCGGCGTCTGCAACAAAGCCCTCACAATCCTGCAGCGCTGCAGCAGCAACAGCTGCAGGACCCTCTGCTGCTGGGCCCCCCCGCAGCTGCACCCCCGTAAGCCAAGCCCTCTGCTGCAGCTGCTGCTGCACTGCCTCCAGCCGCTGCAGGAGACCGTGCGACTCTGATAGGAGGCCCTTGAGGACATCTAGGCTTTGCTGCTGCTGCTGCTGCTGCTGCCGCACTTCTTGCTGCGTCTGCCGTATCAGCTGCTTAATCTCTTCTGCTCGTGCAGACCCTTCAGGGTAGACTGAAGCAGCAAAGGGGGCCCCCATCACACTCACAGGGGGGCCCCCTGCCTGAAGCATCTCAGTCAAAGGAGGGGCCCCTAGCTGTTGCTGCCCTGCGCCTCCTCCAGCACCTGCTTCTTCAGCAGCAACAGCAGCAACAGGAGCAGCAGCAAATGGTGTGGGGCCGAGGCTGAAGGCCCCCAATGCTGCTTCCAGCTGCTGCTGCTGCTGCTCTAAGAGCTGCTGAGTTAACTCGAGCCTATGCAGCAGCTGCTGCATGATGTTAGAGTCATCAGCAGCAGCAGGGGCCCGCTCGCCTGTACCCTTTGCAGCGTCTGTTGCTGCTGTTGCTGTCGCTGCTGCTGCTGCACCTTGGGGGCCCCCACCAGAGAAGGGGGCCCCTTCATCTTCTATGTGCTGCAGCAGGGTCCTCATCGTGTCTTGACAGAGCCGCGACAGGCGCAGCTCGGGTTGTGTAGAGCACCAGATGCTGTTCAAATCAATTCCGTGGGCTTCCCCTGCAAACAGTTGCTGCTGCTGCTGCTGCTGCTGCTGCTGCTGCTGCATGCACGCTAGGGACGTGGGGGCCTCGGGGGGGCCCCCCTCTGCTGCAAGGGGCCCCCCACTGCGGCTGCCGGGCGCAGGGGGGTTTGATGCTGCAGGGGGGCCCCTGGAGGGCAGTGCAGCAGCACTGGAGGGGGCCCCCAGCAGCGCGAGCTGCTGGGGGCCCCCCACCTTGCTGCCATTTTGGGGGGCCCCCAAGCCTACTGCCTCTAAGAGAAGCTGAGAACGTCTCTGAGCAGACAGCAGCAAATCGACAGCTACCTGCAGCACAATCATAACAGCTGATCCTACGCGCCGCTGCTTGCTAGCAACTAGGGGGGCCTCCGTATTGGATTGGGGGGCCCCCAGGGGCCCCTCCCCTGCTGCTCCGCTGCTGCTGCTCGCCTCAGCACTCAAAGCAAACCCTCCAGGGGGAGCCCCCAGGGGCCCCAGGGGCCCCCAAAGGCCTTTAGGGGCCCACAGGGGCCCCCATAGACCCTCCCCGCCGCTGGCTCGAGAGAAATATGAACTAGTGGTGCCTGTGCTGCTGAAGCTCAGAGAAGGGCCCTCACGAGGTGCAGCAGCAGCAGCAGCAGTAGATGCACTCGTTGCTGCTGCTGCTGCTGCAGGTGAGCCGCTAGAGGACGCCACTGCTGCGCTCAACAAAGGGGGGCCGTGCTGGTGCTGCGGAATGTGGGGCCCCTCATTGGGTGCTGCTTGCCCTCCACTATCCGTTGCTGTTGCTGCTGCTGCTGCTGCATCTGCTGCTGCTTTTTCTGCTGCATCTCTACAGGCTGCTGGTTCAGGCAACGCCTTTATTTGCTGCTCTAAGAAATCACAGAGCCAACGCCACAAACGAGGGGGAGGGGAAGGGGCCCACCCCTTTAGAGGAGGGGGCCCTAATTCTTGTATATCATCTTCTGCTGTTGCTGCTGCTGCTACTTCTGTTGCTACTGCTGCTGCAGCAGCTCCTGCATCTGCTGAGGGGGACGCTGGGGAGGGCCCTCCATCTGCTCCTGCGGTGGCTGGTGTTGTTGCTGCTGATGCTGCTGTTGCTGCTGCCGCTGCTTCTAGAGGCGAACCTTCGCTTGGGCATGGTAGACAGGGTACAGCTGACCCGTTGGGGGCCCCCAAGAGGATCGTATGAAGGGGGCCCCCCTGGGGGCCCCCCTGAGGGCCCCCCTGAGGGCCCCCCAATGAACCCTTTTGGGGGGGCCCTGGTGCGCTGGCGTCAAGGGCCCCCTGAAGGGGTTCATCGGGGGCCCCTTGGGGGCCTCCCGATGAAGCCCCTTCAGGGCCTCCAGAAGGGGGTATGGGGGGGCCCCCTTGTCGTTGGGTACAGAGGAGGGGGCCCCCTAGAATGCTTGGCCTCAGGGGGGGCCCCACGGGCCAGCCATCTGAGACGGCGAACGGTGCGAAAGTCATTTAAAAAGGTTTCATTGAATCTGAAGATTGTGAGCCTTGGGGGCCCCTGCATCGGCAGTGGAGCAGCAGCAGCAACAGCGGCAGCAGTAGCGGTGGCAGCTGCAGCGGTAGCAGCAACAGCGACAGCAGCTGCAGCGTGGGCTCCCTGCCCCTGAAGCTGTGCAACAAGCGGAGTAAAAGGTATTTAAATAAAAAAGAGAACAAACAAAACAACAAAAAAGAGAATAAGATGTTGATCCCAGCCACTTTTTGGGGGCCCCACCGCAGCAGCAGTATAGGGCCCCCGCAGCAAGCTGCCTGCAGCAGCAGAGGCATTTGCTGCTGTTGCTCTGTTTATTTGTTTAAAACAATTACATATTTATTGAAGTTAAAAAGAATTAATTTATATTTTAATATTAATGGGGCCTTCTCAGTACTCCATACAGCTGCTGCTGCTTAGCTAAGATACTTCTATGCTCTCTCCGCTTGCATGCAAACCCTTTGAATAAAAAGAAAATATAATAAAATATTTATTAAAGATATATTCTTTATATATTGTTTAGAGTGTATATATAATATATATGCCTTTTATAAATAATATATCAGTATGAGAACCTATATATTTATAATACCTACAATATATATATATATATATATATATATATATATCTACTATATATGCGTATATCAATATATCTAGCCAACAGAGATATAATTAATATAACAATATATATATGTATATATGTATATGTATTTAATAAAATAATATAATTGTATGTCAATATTAAATAGAGAAATATATATGTATAACAACATATCCATTCAATAGAAATAAATATACATAAAAAAGTAAATATAAGTATACAGTTATATGCATGTACATATAAGATAATAATAATAAAACATTTATATAATATATATATATATATATATCTTTAAGCCGCTACACCAAGGAGTAAGCCAGCTGCCCTAGCAACAACAGAGACCGTTAATATTGCTGCACATTGCTGTTGCTGCTGCTGCTGCTGCTGCTGCTGCTGCTGTTGCTGCTGTTGCTGCTGCTGCATGCATGCAAAGCAAATCTGCAGGACTTTATTTCGTCTTCTCACCGCAACAAAACCCACAAAAAAAAACAGAAAAGAGGCACCCGGCTGCGGGAGGTGCACATACACCCCAGAGCAGCAAATACAGAAACAAAGACATTAAATAAATAAATAAATAAATAAATAAATAAATAAGTAATTGTATATATAGACATACTAACAGGCCCTCTTCTTTCTTTGTTCATCGTGTGCTACATGAGACAAAAGGGGCAGCCGTCGGTCTTCTTTCATTGATTGTCCTGGGGGGTTTATAAATAGAAACAAAATGCAACACTTTGCTGCTGCTGCTGCTGCTGCTGCTGCAACTGCAGCAACTGCAGCAACTGCAGCAACTACAGCAACTGCAACAGCTGCAGCAGCTGCTGCAGCAACGCCGTATTAAAAACAACAGAACGACGTGGAGATTAACACGGCGAGTAAAATAATAATAAAAATATAATTAAAGAGCAGTAACAAATAACATTGATATGAAGGCAGCAGCAGCGATAAATCAGAGACAAAAGAAAAACTAAAAGGAGACAGCAAAAGGAGACATATCTAATAAGAGACACTTAAAAGAGATACTCGAAGGATATACGCAAACAGGAGACAGTAGAAAGAAGCTGTAAAAGGAGACAGTTAAAGGAGACAGCAAAAGGAGACAGTTAAAAGAGATTCTAAAAGGAGACAGTAAAAGGAGACAGTAAAAGGAGATAATAAAAGGAGATAGTAAAAGGAGACAGTAAGAGGAGACAGTAGAAGGAGACAGTAGGAGGAGACAGTAAGAGGAGGCAGTTAAAGGAGGCAGTTAAAGGAGGCAGTAAAAGGAGGCAGCTAAAGGACATAATGAAAGGAGACAGCTAAAGGAGACAATTAAAGGAGACAGCTAAAGGAGACAGTAAAAGAGGTGTCTCCCGCTTGCGTTTGTGCATTTTGTTTTCTCTCAGTCTCCCTCCAGCTCCCAGTTAGCTGCGTCTGCAGTATTATCTGCATCGATAGCGATGCCCTCTGTTACTGCGTACAGCAGCTTCCGGCGCAGCACCTCATAGCTTGAATAGGGGGGGAGATCCACCTGAGTTAACACCAGCAGCAGCAGCAGCATCAGCAGCAACAGCAGCAAAATCAGCAACAGTGAGATGAAGCCGCAGCAGCAACCAGACAAGGCACAGACAACCCGCTATGGCAGCAGCAGCGGCAGTAGCAGCAGCAGCACAGCTCGCCCTAGCAACAGCAGCAGCAGCAGCAGCAATTGCAGTAACGCTTCTAGCAACAGCAACTGCGAAAAAAGCAACATCGGCAGCAGCAGCACCACTACTGCTATCAGCAGCATCGGCAGCAGCAGCAGCACTACCGCCAGCAGCAGCAGCAACAGCAGCAGCAGCAGCAGCAGCAGGATCTGCAGCATGCGCCTCACCTGGAAGAAGCAGGTGTGTGATTGCGGCAGCATTTCGTCTGCGAGTCTCTGCATGGCGTTGCTGCCTGGTGCTTCGCTTGAGGAGACAAAGTTATTATTCAAGGAGACAGAATTGTTATTTAAAGAGACAAAATTATTATTTAAAGAGACAAAATTATTATTAGGAGCAGAACTAAAGTGTGCAACGACGGCGTCTCCAGACGCTGGGGTTGTGATGGTGCGCGTTGAGCTCCCTTCAGCTTCTTCTGTCTCTTCTTCACCATCAGCAGCAGCAGCAGCAGCAGCAGCGCCACCACCACCACCACCTGCACTTGCAGCAACAGCAGCAGCAGCTGTTGCTGCTGCTGCTGCTGATGCTGCTGCTGCTGCTGTTGCTGTTGCTGTAGGCCTACTGCTGCTGACCGAGTGTACAGGCACCTTTAGAGTGACTTCCATATCTTGCTCCCATGTTGCATGCGCCAGAGGCAGCCGAGAGCGCCCCCAAACAAAACGCAAAAATCTTTGTCTTTCTGCTTGAGAGAAGGACTCTAACGCCTGCCAGAACCACCTTATCTGCTTGTCAGACTCCTGAACAGCAGCAGCAGCAGCAGCAGCAAAAGCAGCAACAGCAATAGCAGGAGCAGCAAAGGAAAAAAAGCAACAGCAGCAGCAGCGCAACAAGCAGCAGCTGCAGCATTAACATGCACTCTGAATGTGAGGGAAGGACCAACACAAGCGAAAGGTACGCAGTAGCATCGCCCGTAGTAGCAACAGCAGCAGCAGCCGCAGCAGCAGCCGCAGCAGCAGCAGCAGCAGCAGCAGCAGCAGCTTACTGTATATCCCGTGTACTTTGTGTGGCTCTTCAGCAGCTGCAGGTCAATAGAGGGACTGCCGCAAACGAGTTGCTGCAGTTGGTAGGGCTCCAGCAAGTCCACTATCTGCAGCGGCACCACGTCCCCAAGCCCTTCACGCACTGCTGCAGTCTGAACAGCAGCAGCAGCAGCAGCAGCAGCAGAAGCAGAAGAGAAGGTAACAGCGGAAGTACGGCAATGGGCTGCAGTGGTTTCGCAAGAGATGGATTGCTAATTCGCATCTATGTTTGTACAAGAACTTATACAAATATATATATATATATATGTATATATATTTATGTATGTTACATCGAATTAAACCACATGCTCCACCTGCTAAGGTTCTTCGCGTTACATCGAATTAAACCACATGTCTTTTTTTATACTTAATATTTTTTTAATATTATTAATACTAATAAAATTATTTCTTGAAAAAAATAAAATGAAATAAGATAAAGAAGGAGTTTTTAAATTTAAAATTATTTTTTTAGCATCATAAAATATAGTAATTATTATACATATATACATATTTATGTATATATGTGTATATATATTTATGTATATGTTTGTGTATATCTGTATATATATATATATATAAACATATGTATATATAAACATATGTATATATACATACATAGAGAAAAGGAAATAAAACCATAGATCAATTTTATAGAATATAATAAATTATTTTTGTATACATATTCAAATATTCATACACACACACATATATATATATATATACATTTTTAAATATACACATACATATATAATATATACATAATATATATACATATAAATGCATATATACATATATATATATATATTCATATATATATATAAATATATTCATAAACACATATAATATATATATATAATGCTTATACCTGTATTTGTCCCTCTGCGAGTCTGAATGCGAATGCGTGGCCGACGTAGAGACTCCGGTCTGCCCAGTGGACTGCTTCATCGCCTTTGCTGTTTTTCAGCGCAACTACTTCGCCGCTAGCTGAAGTGGTGCACCAAGTTAATGCGAAAGACTCAGCAAAAGAGACAGCGTCCAGACCCTCAGACTCCAGATCTAATACCTGCAGCAACAGCAAAAGCAGCAGCAACAGAAGCAATAAAAGCAGCAGCAGCAGGAATGGTAAAAGCAGCAGCAGAAGAAGCAATGGAAGCAGCAGCAGCAGCAACAACAACAAAAGCAGCAACAGAGCCAGCAACAGCAGCAGCAGCGAAAGCAGCAACAGCGGCAGTAAAAGCAACAGCAACAGTATGAGTGACAGCTGCAGCAGCATGAGCAGGAACAGAACTGTGCGTGGGAGGAGTAGCAGCACCCGATGCAGCAGTTAGTGTTAGCGCCAGCAACACCAGCAACAGCAACAGCAGCAGCAGCAACAGCAACAGAAACAGCAGCAGCAGCACCACCAACAACAAAAATAACAGCAGCAGCAGCGCCACCACCAACAACAGAAATAACACCAGCAGCAGCAGCAACAGAAATAACAGCAGCAGCAGCAGCAGAAACAGTAGCAGCAGCAGCAGGATATTTAATCGAAGTTCAGCTTACCTTTTTCAGGATTTGCACAGCGAGTGCATCCGTTGCCTCTAAGTCCTTCGGCTCAGGAGACAGCCCAACGAGGTGTCTCCACACCAAAGGAGACAAATTTAAACCCAGGTGCAGACGGCCCCGCAGCACAACGCCCATCAGCCGCCCCAGCACTCGATATGCACCCAGGCGAGCAGCAGATAAAGAATGAGGATTCAACTGCCACATGTCCTGCAGCAGCAGCAGCGGCAGCAGCGGCGGCGGCAGAAACATCAGCAGCAGCAGAAGCAGAAGCAGCAGCACAAAGCAGCAAAGCAAACAAATACATACACACGCAGACACACGCGGAGACAGGGACAGACAGACATTTGCCTGGCTACCTTGCAACTACACAGAAAAGCAGCCGCAGCAGCAGCAACAGCAGCAGCAGCAGCAGCAACAACAGCAGCAGCAACAGCAGCAGCAACAGCAACGGCAGGTGAGGAATAGTAGCACGAACCTGGTCTTGTCCGAAGCCCCGGCTGTTAGCGGAGGGCAGCAGCAGCGCGTTGCTGCTGCCGGGCGTCTGCAGCTCAGCAGCAACATGAGAGAAGAGGTCCCTATACAGCCCGCCAGCATCAATCCCTCCTTCTCCTTCATATGCAACAAACCAGACCCTGTTGCTGCGGCGCAGCAGCCAGGGAGAGACACTTTCGAGCTGGCTTGCGAGCTGCATTGTCACGTCTTTCAGCCCGCTGCTGCTGCTGCTGTTGTTGCTGCTGCTGCTGCTGCTGCCGTTGGCAGCGCCGGGCGGCGTCGCAGTTGTTCCTGATGCGGCTGTTGCGGTTGCTGCTGCTGCTGTTTCCGTTGCTGCTGCCGCACGGCCTCCTTCCTGCCCCGCAGCAAATGAACCAGAAGCAGCAGCAGCAGCAGCAGCAGGGGCTGCTGCTGCTGCTCGCTCCCCCGCCCGCAGCGCGCGGGCCCTGTTAATCGCAATACGGAGACGCCCATCAGCCCGAGGGTCTTCTGATAGAGACAAACACAAACTAACGAGCCAGTGCTTCAAGCTGGCTGGTAGCAAGTGCCTGCAAAACACGCAAGCCAGACCCTAAACCCTAAACCCTAAACCCTAAACCCTAAAACCTGCGCCCTCACACGCAAACCCGAGAACCTGAACCCAGAGGAAACTATAGTCGCAACAGTAAACCTTAAGCCATATTCCCTAAACCCTAAACCCTAAACACTAAATCCTGAAAGCAACAGAAGCTGCAGCAGAAACAGCAGCAGCGGTAGCAGCAGCAACAGCAGTAGTTGGCACTGGGAGTATCCGCAGCAGCAACCGCAAGAGAAACAACACCCACGCACAATCCAACACAACAAGCAGCAACATCACGAGCCGTATCAGCAGCAGGCGCAGCAGCAGAAGCAGAAGCAGCAACAGCAGCAGCGGCAGCAACAGCAGCAGCAGTAGAGTAGACCTGAAGCACTGCAGCGTGAGGGAGAAGGAAGAAGGACGGGGAGAGAAGAGCTCAAGACAAGGCCCTATGGAGACCAGCAGCTGCGTAAGGGCCCTACAGAGCTGCAGGGACACCTCAGCCACACCCCACAGGCTTGCGTTTGCTGCTAGCTGCCGCCGCAGCGCCGACAACTGCTGCTGCTGCTGCTGCTGCTGCGGCTGTTGCGCTCCAGTGTCCTGCTGCTGCAGCAAACTCCTAAAGTGGTTGACGCTATCAATGTCAACCCGCCCGTCTGCAGAGCCGCCACTCCCGCCCGGTGCTGCTGCTGCTGCTGCTGCTCCTGCTGCTGCTGCTGCCTCTCCTTGCTGCACTGCCTCTCCGCCCCCTTCTAAGACGGCCAATACCGCACCTAGAACCTCTTCGCTTAGCAGCAAGTCCACATGCTGCAGCACAAGCTCCCACTTTCCCCTAAGCTGCTGCTGCTGCTGCTGCTGCTGCGGTTGAAGAGGTGTCTGTACACCTGAGTAACGCCAAAGGATTGTGCGGGGATCTGCAGGCAGAGAGCGCCGGGTGTCTTCCCAGTAGTTCCACTGTCTCTGAAGCCGCCACAGCTGCAACAGCTCGTCATACTGGCTGAGGCGCAGCAGCAGCAACTCATCCTCGTGGCGTCTTCGGGGCTGCTGCTGCTGCTGCTGTTGCTGCTGGTGTTGTTGGTGAGGTGGTGCTGTTGTTTCTGCGAGTTGTTCAAGGAGGCGTTCGGTTGGTGAGTGGTTTCCGTCGTTGCTGCTGCATCCTTCTAAGCCGCTGCTGCTGCTACTGCAGCTGCTGCTGCTGCTGCTGCATCTGTCCTGTTTGTGCATGCAGTGCAGCAGCTGGGCTATACGGTCTACACCATAAGCCTGATCTGTGCTGCTGACTATATCTGCTACTTCTCTTTGGCTGAGACAAGAAGAGTAAACGCGCAAATCAGCAATAAGGCCCTTCATAGAATGCGCCCTGCAGCGGGGATAGAGATGCCCCCGTTGCTGCTGCTGCTGCTGCTGCTGCTGCTGGGAGAGAGGGGGATGGGGGGGAGGCCTGAGTAGCTCTTCTAGGCGCAGCGGCAGCGGCAGAGGAGCTACCCAGAAAGGAAGAGGCCCCTGACACATGCAGCATCTGCTGCTGACTGAAGCAGCACCAACCTCTCTACCATCCATATATAAGCGGACCCCTAGAGCCAATCCTTTGCCTAGGGGGGCCCCTACGCTGATGCACACATGTGTCCACTTCCGCGGCTGCAGCGGGATGCTGCTGCTGACAGCTGCAGCAACAGCTTGATAGTCTATGTATGTTGTTGTCTGCAGCGGTACACGCAGCTGTACGTACACCCGGTTTTCTGGAGACAGCCACACAGACACTGTCTCACTAACGCAGCCCCGCAGCCAAACTAAACGCCATACTCGCCCTCCTCCTGCATGCAAACAGCGGCAGCCTCCCCTTCTGCTCCTGCTGCTGCTCCTGCTGTTGCTCCTGCTGCTGCTGTTGCTACTGCTGTTGTTGGTGTTGCTGCTGCAACTGCACGTCTCAACTTGCACGTCTGCTGCTGCCTCAGCCAAAGCCATACGCCGCAGCAAGCCGGCTATATGCCGGTCTGCTGCACCGCTGGCACCCCCTCCCTCATCTTGCTGCTGCTGCTGCTGTTGTTGTTGTTGTTGTTGTTGTTGTTGTTGTTGCTGTTGCTGTTGTTGGTGCTGATGTTGAAGTTGCTGGTATTGTTGCTGTTGCTGCTGCTGCTGCTGCGGCTGCTGCTGCTGCGGGCTGTCACTGCTGCTGGCCCCAAACGGAGGAGACGAAGCAGGAATGTCTCCACGTCTCTGCAGCAGCTGCCTGTAAGGAGGCTGAGGGAAGAGAGACCCATGCAGCAGCGCTATGCGAGTCAATCCACCTCCTCTTCTTACTATAGGATGCCGATACCCTGAGGTTAGGGGGCCCCCGAGGGTCTGTGGCTGGTGGGGCTCGCCACTGAGGGTACTGTCTCGCGTTCATTCCGCTAAGACGTCCACCTTCCCAGTTGCCGGGAGAAGCGATAGCGGCTTGCTGCTGCAGCACCAGTTGCTGCTGCTGCTGCTGCTGCTGCTGAAGCTGCAGCTGAAGCTCCGTCGGGCTCCCCTCTTGCTGCTGCCGCTGCTGTTGTTGCTGTTGCTGTTCCACGGGAATGTGCTGCTGTGGCTGCTGGCCCAGCTGATGCTGCTGCTGCTGCTGCGCGTCGAGATGCTGCCGCTGCCCAAGCTCCAGATGATGTGGTTGGTTCTGTTGCTGCTCCTGCTGCTGCTGTTGCTGTTGCTGCATGTCTAGCTGCTGCAGGCCCTGCAGGCCTAGACGTTCCTGGAGCTGCCGCGTCTCCAGCTGCTGCTGGTGCTGCATCTCCATTGTGTGTTGATATTGCAGCATCGCGAGGTGCTGCTGCTGCCTCTGCTGTTCCCTCAGTGACAGCTGTTGTGGCTGCAGGTCTAGTTGCTGCTGCTGCTGCAGCTCTAGTTGTTGCTGCTGCTGTATCTCCCTCTCTAGAAGAGCTATGGGATCTGGGGGCAGTCGCTGCCACACTTCATATGAGTCGCTTGCGCGCGCGTCCTGCCCCAGGCTCTGCTGCTCCTGCTGCTGCTGTTGTTGTTGCTGCTGCTGCTGGAGAGAAGGCCAGTCCCGTTGCTGCTGCTGTTGCGGTGCACCTTCTACGTCCCTTTGTGGGGTTCTGGGATCGTCTCCTCCCGCTGTTCTGCCGGCTGGCGGTGCTGCATCCTGGTTCAGTGCGTCTGATGGAGCTACACCTGCCCTGTTTGCTGCTGCTGCTGCTGCTGCTGCAGCTGCAGCTGTTCCTGCAGCTCCTGCTGCAGCTTCATCTTGCCTCCATGGGCTGGAGAAAGGAGGAAAGTCCCCAGGGTGCTGCGCAGGCGACGCTGCATATGGCATGGTGCTGCGCCAGCTTGGTTGGCGCAGCACGTTCTGCTGCTGGTGCTGCTGCTGCTGCTGGTGCTGCTGCTGCTGCTGCTGTTGTTGTTGTTGTTGCTGCTGCTGCTGCTGTGGAGTCCGCGACTGTGCTGCTGCTGGAGTTGGGGTATCGCTGACTGGCAGCTCTGAGCGCTGCCGCATGGGCCTCCACCGAAGTACTGCTGTTTCGCTGCCTAAGCTTGCTGTTCTTGTGCTGCTGCTATGGCTGCTGCTGCTGCCGATGCTGCTGCTTCCGCCGCCAGTGCTGCTTCTGCCATTGCTGCTGGGGATGCTGCTGCTGCTGCTGATACCTCCAGGTGGAGGTGGCACCAGCTGCTGTTGCTGCTGCTGCTGTGCAGCAGCAGCAGAAGTAAAGCCTGGTGCTCTTCTGTTGAAATTGCTGCTTCTCGGGTTCTGTGGGGTGTCCAAAGGCGAAACAACCCCCTGCTGCTGCTGCTGCTGCAGCAGCAGCTGCTGCTGCTGCTGAGG